TAAGAAGGATAAAAAGAAAGAAGAAAAGGAGCAGCCCAAAGAGATACCTATTATACAAACTGAGGATGTTAGCAGTAAGTTATTCGGCTTAAGCATTCACTAATCTTGATAGAGTGTCATCGGTATTTTCTGGTGAGGTTCGAGTGAATTCTTTCTTCAAGGTAATGATAACGGCGCACCGCCTGACGCTCCGCCCCCAACTTCTCTGAAAAAAAGCAACTATGGAGGCGGTATGTTCCTTTTCTTACTCTTATTTCTGGAATTCGTACTACTTGCTTCCGGAGAATTTTGTTATTAAAATAGAAGAGACCTTTTTTCCTGCCTCATTTGACTTCAAGTTCAAGACTTACATATGATTAGTTTCGTGAAGATACATCGGTGTCAGAGTCGGGTCATACTTTGCGGTGCGATTTGCAATCTGGATCATGAAGAAGATACGTGTTTATGCAATCCCAAGATCGCGGTTGTGATCTATAGCATCTACCCAAGAGAAAACTTAAGGTCGGAAAGTAGCAGAATCGCAAAATCGCAAAGTATAAGCCCCGGACCCCTCTTTTGGAAAGTTAGAGTACTTAAGCTGAGGATAGATATCATAAAGATAGATCAAGATGTTGCTTTGATGTAAACAAATGTTCTCTAAGGATCTATCTCTGTTGCCTTGTATATGGTATTTCTGGGCTAATTTCATTGACAAAACTTTTCTAGTTTTAATGCTTTTAAATTTTCAAAACCATTGCTCTACGTAATCATTTCCGTTTTTGGTTAGCATGCAACATACTTTTTGCAACTAAAAATACAGCTGGATCGCTAATTTCTTCCTATATCAGGTTTTCTATTGGGAAGAATTGAGTTCGGTATGTTACGGTGTTGAAAAGGCTAAGTGTGCCAAATAACATAACAGTAGCTACTCATGCCTTCTAGATAAGCTAGGCTTTGCCATAGTGCTACTGTTGTTTATAAGTCTTTTGTGGTGTATGTGATGGTTTTTTAGGACCTGTTATACCTCGGCGGGATCGTCGACAGTCCAGCAGTCTGTTCAATGTTTCATCGAACAGGGAGCTTGTGAAGTTGCCTCCTATAAAAGGTAAGGTGAAAAGTCACGTTTCGGTGTTTTTTTTTCAGTACTTTATGACGGTATTCTGGTTGAACTTTTCCTTACAGTTTGAATATTTCCGTGTTTTCATCATATTTGTAGTTCTTATTGTAATTATGTAAGTAGCACTAAAGTAGCGACTGCGATCACATTCCTTTCTCTTGTGGTGAAAATGGTTGAATAGTGTCTACAGAACTTCAAGAATTGCCTTGGCCACTGCATAGTAAACAGGGAACAAGTTCGCTGTTTCCTCTTTAGACGTGCGTAACGCATTTGTTTTGACTAAGAGAAGTTGTTGTGGTGTTTCAACACTGCCAAAGTATGTAATGGGGAGCAGATTCATGTTGTAGTGTCTGCGGAGAACAAAACATGGCAATCCTTTGAAATATAACCGAAAATTGGAGAAGTTCTGAGAACTGTAAATTATTGCCAGACAGAGATACTCAGATTTTCACCTGAGTAAGGGAGGCTTCATGTTGTTCCTAATGCCTTGTTTCTTTTTAATACTTCATAACGGTGAATATTCAGGATAGACAAAGAAGCCAAGAAGGGAGCTAGTTATGTTGCCAGAGTTATTTTGAAAACCATATGTTTTTTTGCGAGGCATGGCTCTCGGATAGCTGCTCAAGCCGTCGGAACATTTGAGCGCTTTTAGGGTCCATATAGCATGTATACAGCTTGTGCCTAACCATAAGTTGTGCAGGGCTAAATATGGAGAGAAAGAGCGAGAGCCTT